ATGCTTTCTATATCCTTTTAAATTCTGTAAAATCTGTTTTAATGTCTCCTAGATCTTGATATTGTAATTTTAAAAATGTATAATTGATATCATGTAATAGGAAGAAAAGGTCTAAAGGAGCAGGGGAAGTGGGAGAGGAAGGGGAAAGAAAAGAAGGGAAAAGAAAAAGTATGAAAAAAGAAAAAAATGGAAACAAAGTCTTTGCAAATAGGGAAGGGTGGAGGGGGTGAAGGAAGGGGAGTGGAGGGGGAAAGAAATAAGAACCAAGATACATCATGTAAAGGTACAAGATCCCAATGATGAATGTAACTGTATTTTATACCTAAAATGTACCAACAAACTTAATGGAAAAAAAACTAATCTTTTCTTATTATATTTGCTAAGTATGATTTGAAAGCACTCTACCATGTCACAGCAAATACCTCCTTTTACACTAACCATCCCTATTTTATTACTCTTGTGTCCCAGTTCTCTAAATTAGTCCAGACTGGATAGTTTGGATGTTAATCAACAGAGTGTCTGAATTAAAGGCTCTGTTTGCATGTGGTGATCTCTGCAAAAGGACTTTTGACATTAACAGTGAAGTGCTACTGGCGGCACTGCAGTCTGGCTAAGAGATAAAAATACTTGCACTGAAGACTGAAATCCGTACACACAGAAGCACATACTCAGCACTCTCAGAGTAAAACTGTGACGTGCTGCCAGACCAAATACTCACATGCACATAAACTGCAGGCCAGAGTTCAAGTGGAAGCATTTGCTTTCTGTTACTTTAAAGGAAACAGACATAAACTGTTGCCAAATTGACAAGGCACATTCAAGTAGGTGTGCCAAGTCAGAGGGGAAGCAAAGGAGGGAGCAAAAGAGGCCATTTCAGCAAGCACCTACTGAGGGAAGCACACAGGGCTGATAGCAACACTGCTCTTGGGAAACTCAGTCTAGTGACAGAGACAAACATGTAAATAAGAAATTTATTCATCGGAAACCATGGATATACTGGGTGATTCTGGTTCTTATTCCAGAAAGCTTAAAAATAAATTAAATGTTTAAATGTTTCAAAAATTGTAAAGGTTTAAATATTAAATAAATTTACTATTAAATCAATAATAATAAATTAACTATTGAATATGAAATTTGCCAATTTCCTCTTCAAGAAGAATAATTTCACAGAATTTCCACATTCAATTTGACTTCATACTTTCACTATCACCCATGTATTACCAAAGGCTACAAATCAATTAGGAAACAAAGGCTCTTGAGCTCACTAAACTCCTTTTTGTTACTGTTACAGAGGCAGGAATTTCTGGGTTACAAAAGCATATGAGCTTGCTAAGGCCGTGATTTCCATAGGGAAGGACTGCCGAGAGGCAAATTATGTCCTCCCCGTTAGATAGAACCACCCTGCACAAAACCTGTTTCTTAAAAAGTTGAAAAGTGCCTTAGCACAAACAAATAATCATGATAGTTTTTAACTTCTCTGTACGGTTCCAAAACCACTATAATGAACAAAGGTCTCCATACATACAGAGCACAGTAAGGCATCTTCCCCTGGGAATTTCTTATGCCTATAAAGTTCTAGTTATCTTTCCAAAGAGAAGACAGACCACACAGCCACAATAAGCATAATGTCATAATAAAAGTACTCAAGTGGCCTGGCAAGATGCTTCTTGTGCATCTAACACTGAAGAAACTCAGCAGCAAGAACACAGGCTACTGTGGCTGTGGCTGAGGACAGGACTGGATTCAGTCATTCCACACCACAGCATGTCTCTGCAGTGGTGGATATTTACTGAGAAGTTTTCTATATATGCAGAATTATCTTAGATATAACGAGAAGGCTATCAGAGACACTACAGATTTTTACTGTTTCATATAGAGACAAAATTATAATCCTAGCAAGGTAAGGATAAGGAAAATATTGACTAACATGTTGGCAAGAATGGGTGCTAGGTGATTTGCATATAGTACTTCATTTAATTTAATTCTCACAATTCCAATGAGATAAGCATGATAACAATCTATTCATGAGGAGGAGCAGTTTTAAATATTATTTTTATTGCTATAAAGGCACAAACTAGATTATCTTTCTAGCCATAGTATCTCCAGTGCTCACTATAAGGTGCAGCACACAACAGGTGCTCAGTAGCTATTGATTAAATGAATAAATAACCTGCCAAGCCAGTGAATGTAGTTTAAGGTCAGGAATCTCCCTCAAGTCTTTCAGCTAACAAAACCCTACTACTTAGAATTGCCTTTCTTAATTTTAACCAAACTGGACTGGGTTCTGTCTTTCTTCTAATTCTATACCAAGTGCTAATTTTTTCCTTTAACCTCACTGAATCCTTCCATAATGCAAATTTTCCCCATTGATCATTGCCATAGCCCACCTTGAAGATGGCTCCCAATGATGGCTCACCTCTGGTAGTTACACCCTCATGAGTCCCCTTCAGCACAGTACGAGGGTTGGACTGTGCAAGTAATACCTGGACAAAGAGAATAGTATGGTATGTTATTTCTCAGAAGAAATTACAACAGATTACAGGCCATCCTCTGTCCTCTGTTTGCCTGTGTATCTCTGTCTTTGTGCCTCCTTCTCCCCATCCCTGACCCTAGGAAGCAAGTTTGGTATTCAGTGGGGATAAAAGAGGAAGCTACTTCTATGATTTCTAGGATGAGAGACACACAAAAAACAGTCCCACCAAATCAAGTTATCTCTAGCTGGCACTCTTGCCCTTCTCTGCTTCCTGGTGGCCATAAAGTGAGCAGCTTTGCTCCACTACATCCATCTGCCAGGATGTTCCTGCCTTGGAACCACCCAACCATGGAGTAAACCTCTGAAACCATGAGCCAAATTAAACTTCTTCTCCTTTAAGTTTTTGGTGTAGGCTACTTTGGCTAAGCAATGGGAAATCTGACTAATATTTTGTACTTTACTATTTTTTTGGCATATGGATTCTACAAAACATTGTAGAAATGCTATGTATTAGTCCCTTTCTCATCAGTGGGACAAAACACCCACCTCCTTTAAGTGAAAGGAGAAGTTTATTTTGGTGCATGGTTTCAGAGGGTTCAGTTCATGGTTAGCTTGTTCCAAGGCAGGAACAGCATGTTAGAAGGGCATGGGAGAGAAAACTGCTCAACCAATGGAAGCCATGAAGCACAGAGGAAAGAAGGAGCCTTAGACAAAAATACACCCTTCCAGGTCATGCCCCAATGACCCAATCCTAACAGCACATTCCTGAGTGCATAAGTATAGCACCACCATGATCCAATCACCTTTTAAAAGCTCCACCTCTGAACACATGAGACTCCTGGGAGCATTTTACATCTATGTCATAGCATACCATTTGTACAAAGCCTTACAACAAACAGAAAGAGCTAGAAGAAACTGTGTAATTTTGTGTATGTGATAAATCATTGAGATATTTATTTTTATTGTTGCTTAGGTACTTAGTTGGCACTAATTCTACCTAAATTCTTCATCAACACTATCTGATAAGCCTGTGGATCCTGGAGGGTTGATAAAAATGGAAAAAGTCCTACATATGCTTCAAAAATACCAAAGGTGCTTCTTTGCTTAGGGATCCTTATTTTATTTCCCATCTCTGTCACACTGATATTTCATGTGTGCCCACAGAATATCTCAGGATAAATTGTTTATAATGGTCCACCCTAAGGCCAGACAGAGAAAGGAGATCTAATAATCTGTGAGAAAATAGTTTTACTCCTAACAAGGAATCTAAAATGACATCAGAATTGGAATTAAACTATGTTGGTATCTTTACTTGATATACAGTTTTTTTCAACTCATTTAAACCATCTTTGCATCCTGACATTCCCTCATAAAGTAGACTAGAAACCAAAGGTTTTCCATATGTTCCTTTTTTCTGAAAACATCAAGTCACCTTTCCATTAATGCTGACAATGTAAACCAAGTAGTCCTTAAGGAACATGTCCTTAAGAACAAGAGATATAGCACCCTATCTCTGAAATTTCCAAAAAATTCAAAGTTTCTATTGTAAATAGCATAATTTTTATCTTAATTGAATAAGTTTAACTAATTTTCTATCAAAAAGAGTTTTTAAGAGCCTGCAAAACACTGCCTAGGTCAATTTGTTTTCAAATACCATTTTAAGTGCAACAAACTTACCATTTAATAAGAATTACCCACTTCTTACAGGGCCTAAGAATATTTTTGGTTCATTTTAAGCCACATTGCTCACATTTACAATTTTCTAGTCATAGTTGGACACTTTTCAGAAGTCTGACTATAAGTTCAACTGATTATTCTGAAAAGTATGCATATGGAAAGAATTGTTTGCTTACTAGATCCTTCTTCAGTAATTCAGATACTTATATCATCATTTCCAAAGCAAATTTTCTAAAATCAAATAAATTGCAAAACTAGAAATATAATCAAGTCTCCAAGAATGGTTCCAATTCTCTGCCAAAACAGACCTCAAATTCTTAATCCCTTGTCCAAAAAAATTGGACCAAGTATTGACGTTTTCCACCAAGTAAGCCACATAGCCACAAATGTTTCTCATTTACTCCACTCCTGGGACATACAGCTCAAATAAAAAATTTCCTGAATACCCCAAATTTCAGATGCAATTTGGAATGCAAGTGATTCATAATGTAATGCAGGAAACATTATGATCTTCTCTTACTAACACAGTGTTTCTGGAATGCAATCCTCAGGAGATCATCCCAACCAATTAGAAGGCTGACATTGCTTTCAGCCATGTGACCCAACTAGTATGCTCTTTGCCCCTCACTTAGATGTGATTTTAAACCTTCAGCAACCCGCTACCCCAGCTACTGTTCAAATAAGAAAGATTTTTACCCCAAGGGAGCCAATAAAAATCCCTGTTGTGCTCCATGATAAAAAACATGGTAACAGTGTACTCAATCCTGTTTTAAGAAAGGGCAAAACAAAAGCAAAAGAAATTAAAGCCACCATCATTATTTCCACAACAAAAGACTCTCACACTGGCCACTGAACAGATTTAGAATCTAATTAAATTCAAGTGTAAAATTTCACAGGGCCACTAGTCCTATTCTAATCTCACCTTCTAACGCTCCCCTTGTTAAGTCATTAATAATGTTTTGCAGTACGAAAACTGCAACTGTCATCTTTTGTAAATTTATATTCTCTTTTAAGGGAAGAAACACAGTTGACATAGACAAAGGAAAGTACTGGGAATGTACCAAAGAAGTAAGAAAACTGTGTAAGTCTTAGAAAACATGATTACTAAAACCAAATCATGCAATTGTCTACAATATGATGAAATACCGGGCACAGCATAATAGCAAATTTGGATGGTAAAAGATCAAAATATGTGTCAACCAAGTTTTCCATTAATTGAAGGATCATGATAAGCACAATGCATAGATAAGGAACATCCTTACATGAAGATTACTTGATGGAGTTTGAAGTAAAACTCAAAGCTAAGAACATACACCTTGAAAGTTGTAGAAAAAGAAAAATGCTACTGATTCTATGGAAATAATAGCCCAAAGGAACAAAGTTCTCAAGTCAAAAAAACATAAAAAAGGCTTAAAGCCATTATTCAAGCGTAAAGAGAAAAGAAACTAATTTAACATTGTCTACAAACACAATAATGGAGAACCTTCCAAAGTAATCAGCTTAAAGTGAATTTCTTGTTCTATAGATAATTCTAATAATAGTAATTTATATAGAAACAACTTAAGTCTGTATATTAAAATTATGACATAAGATCCCATGAGATAATTTTGCCTCAGGATGTCATAATAAAAAATACTTGAAAAAAATAACGCACACACAAATAAAAAATAAATAATTCAATTTAAACATGTGACTAGACTTATGTTACATCATGAATAATCTGAAAAGTAGCCAGGGAGTTAGCTCAGTGGTCCCACGCCTGCCTCCCAAGTGCAAGGTCCTGAGTTTGATCCCTGGTATCAGAAAAAAAAACAAAAAACCTGAAAAGTGGCTTCAATATCTCTGGCTACCAAAGATCCTATTTTCCATCTCAATTCAGTTGCTAGGTAAGACTTACCACTTAAGTATCTGTACAAAAGGATAGTAATCACATTGACTAGCTAATACTTATATAACCTGAAAGAAAATGGTTAGATAAAAACATTAGGGAATGGAATATTTTTTATCACTCTATTAACTGTTTGCTTTGAAACTGAAATACATTTTCCTTCTTGCTACTATTGATTTTATGCTCAAAACTGAATTAAATCAATAAATTACCAAACTATCACAGTTTCATAGAACACTGATCTCATATATATGAAGTTTCTAGAACAATCCATATGGTAGATATGCAAATAGTGTTAGTTCCCTAATTCATTTCCTGTCCCTTCTTTATTATGACCAACATGGCTTTACTTCCTTTTCTGTAATTTAGGACTCAGAAGACTGAGCTTATACATGTATTGAACTAATTCTCTGCCAGAATATAATGTTTCTTAATTTTCTTACTGATCTGGGCAATATCTTTTAATTATAGGGCCCCCAAGAGCTGCATTTTTTTCTTTTATTGACTTAATTTCCATTGAAAGATAACGTAAATGCACTCTGTCATTTGTATCACAGCCCAGTGTCATGGGAAGCAGTGTACTAGGATACAGGGGAAAATAATTCAGTAAAACATGATTTCTACCTACGATAGTTAATTTTATGTGTCAATCTGACTGGGCCATATGGTGATAGACATTTGGTTAAACATTATTCTATTTGTTTCTGTAAGAGTGTTTTAGGGCAAGAGTAACATTTATTTTTTGGTACAGGGGATAGAACTCAGGACCTTGTGTTTTTGAGGCAGGTGGCAGCACCACTGAGCTAAATCCCCGGGCCAAGATTAATATTTAAATCAGTGGGGTCCCTGAGCACCAAGGAGTAGAACCCCCCCAGTGCTGAGGAGGTGAGCCATGCAGGCACCAACAGCACACACACCCCTCTCTGCGGCTGTGCTGAGCCATTACCTGGATCCACACCGCAGAGTTGCAGGGGTCATAAAGAACACTGTTCTCAGCTCCAGAAGATAGAGCAGAAGTGAATAACTGAAAGAGGTCTGCTCAGGCTCCTTGATGAAAATTAAAGCCCACTGGAAAAGTGAAGAAAATCTGGGCAATAAAGGCACACTAGACCACTTTAGTTAGGGGAGCAACAGCATGGACCGGAGCTGCGTGGATGCAAGCAGATCCCAGCCAGGGCTCAGGCCCGACCCCAGAAGCTCAGGCACACCAGCCCAAGGCAAGGGCCTACCTGGAAAAGAGCTGTAAGGCACACAAGCAACAGTGAGAGGTTCTCCCCAAAACCAACAGTAAGTCCTAGAGACCCTGGCCAGAAGCAGGCTGGCACAACAGGAACTGAGGTGCACAGCCCCCAGCCAAAGGCCCACCCACACAACAAGTATGTAGGGGCCCTAGCCAGATGCACACCTAGATACCATCCCAAGTGTGCATAGGCCCCAGCCAGAAG